ACATTTCACTGCCTTTTTTGGAAGAGAGATTCTTAAAAACAAGTTTTCTTTAGGATGAGTTCACTTGGGGCTTATTAATTTGGATGCCGCTGCTCAAATCACCACTTTGCCAAGTTTTGCTCTTCTTTACTCTATTTTCATGCAGTAAGTTAGATGTGCTATCAAGACTAAAAACTTGAAAGGTAAATTTTCTCTAAGAAGCAGGCCTTGTACAGAAGCCTGTGGTCACTGCCTGAGAGGACAAGCTTGCCTCACGTGGAGGGTCGGGAAGAACATCTGCAGCAGGAGTGCTTCCCATAAACTGTGACTCATTATTCCATCAGCCACAGTGTCCTAGGGCCACCCGAGGAGAGAGCCCAATCGTCCCACGTCTTTTGACAATAAAACCAGCAAAATCAGAGGGCAGTGGGAAAGGACAGTTGAAAATTATAGTTAAAGGATAAGGCAACAAAATAGAAGACTTTCCCACATCAAATGTATATTCTGGGATTAAAAAAAAAATGATGAGTGACCTTACTTAAATAAATCTAGTGATGAAAGGTAATTTAGATAAAACCATCAACTGATGAGATTAAAAACAGGGTCATAGGAGGGAGAGTTAAAAATATGAATTCATTCACATTTTCACACAATACATATCCACAGAGCACCTACTGTGAGGTCAGGGATAATTCTAGGTGATGGCAACACAGCAAAATAGAGAATAGATAGAGCCCCAGCCCTCAGAGAACTCACATAGCAGGCAAGAAACAAATGAATTAAAAACTGAAGACTGCCAGAGAGAGATGAAGTTGGGAGGGAAAATAGTTGACTTCCACGTGGATGCTTTAAAAAAAAAAAAAAAAATCCCCACCAAAGGACATAATTACAGAGAGGGAAGAATGGGGGAGCAGGGGCGGGGAGGGAGACACAGAATGGCAAAGAATAGGAAAAGAATGGCAGAGGCCTAAGCTGAAAAATTCCTGCATCCCATACTATATCCTAGTATAATACACATGTCACAGAAGTGGTTGGATAGCATACTGTAAGTACACCAGGGACCTCGGAAGCACTCGGACTCACTGTTCCAGTGAATTGGAAACACAAGCACATCCGCTTGTGGGTGTGACCTTCCCCCAGGATTCTGGGCTGACCATATTGGAGACAAAACACAAAGTCCCAATCTTGGGAATTGCCCCTTCCAACTTAGTAACTTTCTTATTGACCGCAAGATTGACTGAGGCTTCGTGGCCAAAAAACTTCTGCTGGTAAGAGCCTGGCTTCAAAATAGAAAAAATCTTGCTGGTGAGTATTTCTTTGCTGTAGAATTTTCTCCTGCTATAGGGGTCTGTTCAGTGGAAGACTTCTCTCTAGTGGCCTGAGCCAGTGCCACTCTGGTAGAAACATGAAGCATGAGTGAGTTATTGCTGAGTTAGATGGCACTGAGTGTTCCCCTCTGGTGCCTACCATTCCTTTGCCCTCTATTATATAAAGTTGTTTGGAGCAGTCTGTAGACAGAAAGGCAGGTATGTTTTATCTTTGTGATGTTGAGATGAAAGCTGTCACTCGTAACTTGACAGCATGTTTCCACCAAGTGATGTCCTGTGCAGGGGACCAAGAAGTGGGCAAGAATAAAGGAGATTCAGTGTGTTTCAGGAAACCTTCAGGAAGAATATCACACCTCTGGTGATTGATCTAGGTGGGCAAGGGCAAGTCGGGTGGGCAGGCAAGGCCGTTTCACAGTACTGCGCTGAACAAGTGGATAGAGTCTGCACATCCCACTTGTGTCTGACTCCCCTGTGCTAACTCAGCCTCCATTAACAGTGACAACTTCTGTCAAAGGACGTGCCTGCATTGGTTCCCTCAAGAGTGGAAAGATTGGCTTTGACATGCTCCTGGCTCGCGGATCCTCTCTGGTTTGTACGTTTTCTGTTTCATTCTTTCCAGTCTTTGTTTCCTTCCTTCTACTTAATGTGGAATTGCTCTTCTTCTTCTTCTTTTAACCTCTGAAAGTAGAAGCTCAGATCATTGATTTTTCAACTTAAAATATTTTTTCTAAGTGTTTTAAAGCTATAAATGCCTTTTTAAAATTGTTAGCTGCATCCCAAAAAAACTTGATATGTTTACAAACTTTCATTTTGTTTGAAACACTTGAAATTTCTTTTGTGATTTCTTCTTTGATTCATAGATTATTTAGAAGTGTGTCCTGTAATTTCCAAACATTTGGGGATTTTATAGCTTTTTGTTCTCCATTTCTAATTTAATTTTGCTTTGGTTAGAGAACATATTCTGCATAATTCCACTGCTTTTAAATTTATCAACACTTGAGGGCCCAGCATATAGTTTCTCTTGGTGAACATCCCATATGTACTTGAAATGCATATATACTTGTAGTTACTGGGTGAAATGTTCCATAATGTGCATGAAGTTACGTTAGTTGGTAGTGTCTACTATATCCCTTCTGGGTTTTCTACTAGATCTGTCGGTTACTGAGAGGAGAATGTTGAAATATCCTTTGAAGCCCCGCTCTTTGCTATGGCCACATTTAGGGTTGGTACATATGTCTTCTGGATTGTGGTCCTGGAAGTCAGGTTTTCTTACATAAGTGGAAGAATACCACCTCTCGCTCATACTGCTGGCCACACACTCTGGAAAGGATCCCGCAGGCCAGCATGGAGGCTGGCTCACAGGTGCTCCGGGATAATCACTGACTGTTACCATGGGACCTTGGCCAGTCACCCGTTGGGGGGCTGGTGCTGGCAGGAATGGAGTTTTCACAGGCTTGTGGTGAAAGGAGAAAAATAAGGACTCTGTGTGTGTGTGATGGTCAGCAGTCTTTTATTGAAAAGGACTGTAGGTTTCTTTTTTTTTTCTGTGCTGAGATTTGTTGATAGGTGATTTTTAGAACCCACGTCCATAGTTGGCAAATAAAATCTTGGCAGTGTTTGTCAACCTCCAGTCTTCCTTTTGGAATTTTACTGGTGTGTGGACCTGAAGCATCTGACGTCGCAGATACTGTAGCACATGCCGTCCTTTTCCTCAATAGCTGGTCCTAAGTCAGTGAGTCGGGTCATATGCTGTATAGGAAATAAACCTTAGCTCAGATTTGTGTGTCGCTCAGCCTGTGGCATCCACTCCATATGACTGTTACTTTTGTCTGTGTATTCCAGCACTGTCCTTCTCAATCAGCTATCAGCATAAAAATGGAGGTTTCAAGAGGCAGAGGAGAGAGCCTTTTATCCCTTGTCTATTTCCTCTTTAACAGAAACCACAAAACCCTGAGACAATTTCAAAAGGGCATTGAATGTATGTAAAAAAGGTAAGAGGAAGCCTGTGGCAGGCGAGCCAGGGTCTAGAGCAGCAGTTCTCAACCTGTGGGTTGCGACCCCTTTGGTGGTCGAACGACCCTTTCACAGGGGTCGCCTAAGACCATCCTGCATATCAGATATTTACTTTACGATTCATAACAGTAGCAACATTACAGTTATGAAGTAGCAACGGAAATAATTTTATGGTTGGGTCACAACATCAGGAACTGTATTTAAAGGGCCGCCAGAAGGTTGAGAACCACTGGTCTAGAGGGTAAAGGTGAGAAGTGTTCGGGGAGACCTCTGAGAGCCTAATACCCAGCCCCTATGCCAAGGCATGGCAGAGAACATTCTTTCTGTCTTCTTTCCAAACTTAGTCTGATACCTGGGCTACTGTGTGTGGCATCTCAATCAGGACACTGTATAATATATAAATGCTACGTAGTAGTACTCTGCTGTTACTGACTAGCATGAAAATACTTGGGATTATGACAATACCAGTGCTAGCAGGTGACATTCCTTGAGCTCTCCCCATGGGCCAAGTACTGTACTAAATGCTTTATTTGTATTATCTCATTTAATATTCACAATACCGATGTAGGTCCTTCCATGATACTCCTTTCTATATGAGGACATGAGGTTTCGCATGGTTGAGTAGTTGCACAAGGTCACACAGCTGAGAGTGCTCGGTCAGGGCCTGGAGCCCAACCATCGGCCCCAGGGCATGTGCGCTCTCCCCTAGCGGCACTGGCTCTTTCTAGTTTGTGCAATGTTTATTATTCTGTGTCAAGTTAAATTAGCCTCCAGTGTTGAGGCCTCATGCTATGTCTGCCTAGTTTATTCTTGCTTTTAAAATTTGATCCTGCGGGTTTTTACACATATATGTGTTCCTTTGGGTGGAAAATGAGAAGCACAGTCGGTGCTGTGGCTGGGGTGCAGAGCCAAAGCTCGCAGGGGGGGTTCCAGGGTGGCTGGGGACAGGGTCCCGGGAAGGTGTCTGGTGATGTAATCTTTTGGTACCTCGGGTCCCAGGTACGAAAGCTGGCGCTCTCCTTCCAAATCATGTACTTCTCGCTGGAGCCTGGGAGAGCTGGCGTAGACAGTAATGTTTCTCCTCAACCCGTTCCATGTGCGCCAATCCGTTGTTTTTTTCTTGGAGGAAGGCTTAAGATTGAATTTCTTAGTGAGTCTAACCCAGACCTTTTAGCATTTATGGCTGTGAGAAAAGTGGGGGAGATTGGTATTTTTTCAGCACCCCTTGGGCTCCTTTAAAAAAAAAGGTTTTGGCATTCTTACCTGTCAGTCAGATTCATCCTTTCCTTTAATCACCACTGCCTCCCACACCACCTCCAGCCCTGCACTGCTCCGATTTCAGATGCCAACTCTCAACCGTTTGAGTCTCCTGAAGCGCACCTCAGCCATGCTGGGCACTCTCCTCCGGCTGACGGCCACGTTCCCGGGGACCAGGGTGTGGTGCCACTTCCCCTCCCCAAGGACAGGGTATCTGTCAGGCCAGGCCGAGGCTCATCTTCAGCCAACCTAAAATCTTCAAATGTTCCACCTTGACTTTTGGGCCCTCGCTTTTTTTTAAAGACATGGCCCTATTCTGGTCATCTGTATCTTCCAATCGTGAGTTTCACATGGATGACTTAAAAGTACAGAGAAGCCCCTCTCCACCACCTCTGACCCACTCCTGCTCCTCGACTCCTCCAGGTCTGGCCTCAATGCCCGTGACACCGCCTGAGACCCGAAGCGCCCTTGCTTTCTCCTCTCCTGGTGCCATGGATGCTGCAGTCTCCTCCACGCTCGGGACATGCTCCTGCAGCTGAGATGCCCTCACCCCTATGCACACCCACGGGCCTGTCTTCTGTCTCCGGCAAAGGAAAGGATTCAGAGGTGGGTTTTTAGAAATTCTGCTCTATTTAGTACAGTTTATTGTATATTTCCACATCCATTAGAGGCAAGGCAGGACTAGGAAGAAGTAAAATTTAAATTGGCACGAAGTTAGTTATCATCAGACCTTTGGGCAGGATTAGGGGCGGTGGACACCTGGGGTAGGCAGCTGGGCCTAGGAGCTCTGAGAAGGTGCTGTGACATGCTTGCATTCTTCAGAGAACCCAAGTCACATCGGACCACACGAGGGAATCTTCAAACCTTTAGGAGACGGTTACCCCACAAACACCTTTGTTTAGAGTACACTTGAACTTCCCGTAAAACTTGCAGTTCATAATCATGCTCTGGACAGAAGTCCAACCAGATTAAGGGTGAACTCTGAATGTGCGTGAGGTCGTCTGGGCTCCCTTCTCCTTCATGGCAGCATTTAAAGAGAACACTTCAGCCACATATGTGGTTTTTGTGAGTCTGATTTTCTTTCATAGAAATGAAAAAAGTTCACTCCACAAAAAGAAAAATCCTACTTTATAGCATATATCATCCCAACTACAATTTCCCTTCATAGAAATGCACAACTGGTACCAGGAACCTCAGTGTGCGGAGTGTCTAGGACATAGAGTTGTTAAGGAAGAAATTGTAGGAAGTCAGGCAAGAGGTGAAAAACAGAACAGTGCGAGTCTGACAACCGAGCTGGAAGTTTCTGAGCACTCACTTATACTCTAGGGACGTCCCATCCAGCCACTTCCATTCGTTTTCATGCTCCAAATCCGTGAGGCCGATCCAATGGCTCTCTCTCCCCACCATCTGCTTTTTTATCCATTGCTGAGCAATAAACCAGAGACGGTGCATTAGTATTTCTTGGAACAGATGTCTGTGGGGTTTCTCCCCCAACATTTAGAAAATAAGGACAATTTAAAAGAAAATGTGTGTCAGCACATTACTCTGCTTTTGCTGTACTCCTTTTTTAAAAAATATATATATTTTATTGATTTTTTACAGAGAGGGAGGGATAGATAGAAACATCGATGAGAGAGAAACATCAACCAGCTGCCTCTTGCACACTCCCTACTGGGGATGTGCCCACAGCCAAGGTACATGCCCTTGACCAGAATCGAACCTGGAACCCTTGAGTCCGCAGGCTGATGCTCTATCCACTGAGCCAAACCAGTTAGGGCACTGTACTCCTTTTTATTGTACTTTTGTTTGGCACTGTCTTGGGGGCTTTGACAGTTTTCCTCTTATCCTATTCTAGAGGCCCAGTGCACAAATTTGTGCACAGGTGGGGTCCGGCTGGCCTGCTCCAATCAGGGCCGATGGGGCCAGGCCAGCAGGGGGATGGGCCGCAGGCGGTTGGCTGGCCGGCCCCGCTTCCTGGTTGAATTCCCGGTCGAGGGGACAATTTGCATATTAGCCTTTTATTATATAGGAATTATATAGGATAGACCGAATGGCGGAACAACTGGTCGCTATGACGTGTGCTGACCACCAGGGGGTGTGAGCAGGGGTGCCAGACCACGCTGGTCGTTGTCATTGGCGCAAGCCTCTGATGGTTACTGAAAATTCTTTGCTCCCATGTGCTGCGCTCCCGCCCCGTGCTCACACCCGCTGCCGGCGCTGTCAGCAGGTACGAGCGGTGGCTGCCGGCCCCGATTGCCCCTGAGGGCTTCTGCACTTAGGGAAAAGGAAGGAGGCCACTGGAACAGTGTGGCACCAAAGAAAGAGCATCAGTATTGCCAGATGGACCTCACTTTCAGGCTCAGCTCTGCATTATTTGTCATCCCATGATTAAACCATTTAAACCTTGTGGAACCTCAGTAGGGTCATAAAGTTTAAAGGAGAAAATGGCTTGCAACGGTGCCTGGCACACATAAAGGCCAACAGAGTGCTCACCATCACTAGCTCGTGTGGGCTCTGTCCCTATGGACTTTTCTGCTCTTTCTGACCCTGCTGGGGCCACATGTCTGGTCCCTTACACCTCACTCTATCCCTATGGTGCTCATGCCTCTTTGCCCCTCTCTCCTCAGGTGCCAGCCCATAGGCTTCTCTTCTGCGTTACTGCTCTTGACAGCCACCAGGAGGAGCCACACGTCTCCCAGGCTGGACGAGCAATCTTCCAGGTGGAAGCAGGAGGATACAATTCCCATGCCAGGAATGCTTCTTGTCACTGGATAAAGCCCAAATCTCCATAATACAGCCTTCTGTTTTTATACGACCACGAATTCTTGATATCTTTGACTCCCCAGTAAGCATGCAATTTCCAAATGTAAACTATCCCTAAATTATAGTTTTCCCCAACTCTAAGTATGCGGCAAACATACCTGTTCCTCTCTTGTGTTTATGAAAACGAGATGTGAAGACTTTTCTTCACAGAAAAGTTTCGCATCCTCAAAAATTTCTTTCTCGACCGAAAAATAGTAGCATTTGTCTGTGAAGTTCTTCCAGTGAGGCGGGCAGCCTAGGAGTGCAAAGGTTCACAACACTGATTACAAACAAAACAGGAAAAGCACCATGCCTTCTTCAGCTGTGTGCAAGAGGCCCTGCTTCCCGCACAGGCCTGGAGCAGCCCCGTGTCCATGTGTGGAGCCCGGACATGCTGGGAGCAAAGACAAGTACAGGGAGCTGCAATTATGGTTAAAACTACATAATCTGGAAAATATCTGTGCTTTGTTCTTCTGCATCCAGATTAGTCCTTACAATGACAGAAACAACAACCAAAAGCAGTGCAGGCACAGATGGTCACCGTCAGTCTGGAGTCATATGGAACCTATAGACAACTGCATGGGAGAACCCGGAACCTAATCGGGCTCACAGAACAGCAAAGATGACCCGAGTGGTACTGAAGGAAATCAAGTGAAATTGGGTGTGGGTCCAAAGAGAGAGAAATAGGCTTGGGTGCAAACCCAGCATTTAAGAATTTACCAAAGGTTTAATTATGAAAAGGGCTAGAAGTCACCATAATACGTTCTCAGAAGCCATGAAATCTGGGCTTCAGTAACACAAAGTTCCACCTGCATGTTAAGTGAGGGACGTCCGTCCCCAGGTGAAGGGCATAAAGTGAGGACAGGATGGGTCGGGAGTGGCCAGCCTTGGACTTTCATGAAGGAAATGTCTGGGGACAAGTTTGTCCCTGAGGGCCGACTCAGTTAAATAAACAAGGGCTAGAGAACCTGTCATGTTTACATGTGCCTGTGAGAGCAGCAGAGCCCAGTGCCTCCCCCACGGGTGTGGGGGAGCATGGAGGACACACTGGGGCCAGCCCAGCCATGAGCACACACACTGCCCCGTCCCCTGGTGCCAGGGAGGGCTCAGACTTACCATTGGCCTCAGGTGCTGTGGTTGGCTCGTTCTGCAGGGCCAGGGGCACTGCTGCTCCTGATGGGCCTGGAGGGCCAGGGGGGCCCTTAGGGCCTGGCATGCCTGGCACCCCAGGCAAGCCCGGCAGTCCTCGCGGTCCAGGCACCCCGGGCTCCCCCACGGTGCCTTGCAGTCCCTGGAAGCCAGGAGGGCCCTGGGGGCCGGGGAGTCCGTCCTTGCCTGGTGGGCCTTGTGGGCCTGGGTCCCCACTGGGTCCTTGAGGACCGGGCTTCCCTGGAGACCCACGGGAGCCTTTGGCGCCCTGAGAGCCTTTGGAGCCTTTGCTGCCTCGCTCTCCAGGGGGGCCGACCGGCCCAATTGGGCCCCTCTCACCAGCAGGGCCGGGCGGACCAGGCTCCCCTTTCTCTCCCTTCTGTCCCTTGTTGCCAGTGGGACCAGGGGGGCCCTGTGCGCCCCTGTCACCTTTCGGACCCCTGGGACCAGGAGGACCTAAAACATAAAAATATAAATGGTACAACATGAAATCCATTGTAAGTGATAGTGAAAATTTCACCCTTTTATAAAACTTCCAATTTAAAAAAATCTAGACATACAAAATATATACATTAAGGATTGCTTACTGTTTTACCATACTATTGTTGATAGTATTTTTTTTTCTTTTTAACAGAAATGTTTCTTTCTAAGCCCACCCCTCCCTCTCCAAGCATTTAGAGTAGCTCTTATTGGCACACAACTTTCTAGTACCCACTGATGTTGTAGGGGAAGGGACAACTTCATGTAGCAGCATCAGCACGACTCCCACCATCGAACTGGGTTCTCCTAGTCCACTGGGACCATGTGTCACCAGCGAAAACTGGGCAGCTTGGGATCAAGATTCCCTCCCACTTATTTCCTCTTTTAGTCACTTATTGGACAAATATTTATTAGGACCTGGGATGCTAGTATTGTTTTATTAGCATCTGGATGATCCCAGATGCACCACAGAAGGTACTGTGGGTACCTAAATAGTTGATTTAGAAAGAAAAATGCTATCAAGTGTTGAGAGGTACTGTCCTGATAACCAGAGAAAGGCTCTTCCTCTGTTGCATCCCACCTGGCGTTCCTGTCCTCTTCACCGGCGCTGCAGCGACACTGCTGTCCTTAGGGTGAGCCTTGCTCATCATGGACCAGCTCAGAGACAGGAGATCTTGGTGGGAAAGTACTCTCGGGGCCAGGCCTAGGGTGGGCCAGTTTCACTTTTTCCGGATTGTTATTCTAATAATGCAAATAGGGAAGGTGGGCTAGAGGGGAAAAATAGGTGGACCACTGAATTGGCAGGGAAGAGAAGAAAAAAAATACTTTTTTTCTACCAAAAAAAGGAAACAGCAATTCTCCCTGAAAAAGGCAGGGGGCAGGGTGGGGAGGAAAATACCTGCTCATCTCATAAAGCAGCTCACTTTACATAGGACTGTCTTAAGTTCTCAGGGTTGACAGGGAACTTCATTCAAATGCGCCAAGATTCTGCATAGTGAATGACAGTTTTCAAGGCACTTGCACATCCGTTATGCCACCTGACCTTTATGACATATAATTCCCACAGCACATTTGAGGAAAACTCAGGGCCAGAGGCACCAAGCTCTTTGTTCAAATCAAGGTTAGAATAAAAACCGATTTTTTCTTTTGAAGCACTGTATCCATCACAAATAGGTTATCTGTCTAAGATAAGGTTTAATATTTATGGCTGTGGGTAAAATCCTAGCATGCACACAGTCACCAATGTCTCCATCCACAGCTGCTCAGCCTTAGGAAACCCATCACAGAGCTACAGCAGGAAGCTGGGTCTGCCTTCAGAGGCTGGGCTTTGAACATGTACTGCAGGTGTTCCATACATAAGGGGATTAATCATTCATATACTTTGCTCATTAAGACAATACTTGTCTCATTAAAACTTAAAAGTTTGCTATTTCTTTTAAAGAAATGACTGAGAAAAAGAGCCAAACCCATGTTAAAAGTCAGTGCTGGATCCCCGTTAAAAGATTATTAATGCCAGGGATATATCTTCCTCCAGGACCTGGGATGCTAGTATTGTTTTATTAGCATCTGGATGATCCCAGGTTTTTAGGTCTTACTTGAAACTTTTATTGGGTGGTGGTTGAAGTGAAAATAAAATGAAATAAAATATAAGCTACCTTTAGTGCCTTAAAACCGAAAACACTGGGATAAATGATGTGGGCGTATTTATGAGCTTGTGCAGTAATAACTTGAGTTCAGTCGAGAGAATGGTTGTGCTACATGGGGAGGCATGTGTGATGTCCCACACAGGAGCAGAGCTGAGATTTGCTTTCAAGGCCAAGTGGGTGGCCCCCTGGCTCAGGATCTGAAATGCCAGGATACCCATGTTGCTGGTAAAGCCATCACAAGCTCCCGAAATGCCTGAATATGAACCCTGAGCAGCCCGTGTTTGCACTACCAGCCAAACCTCCTCGTGTTCCCCAGACTCCAGCTGGGAGCCTGGAACACCCGAATCCTGGAACCAAGCAGTTCAAAGAGCACAGAGACTTTAAATCACTGTGCTGTTTCTGTTTTGCAACCAAACTGCAGGCCTATCCCTGAGATGACTTTCCAATTGGTTTTCCAACATGACTGCTGGTGCTTAACGGAAGGCAGAGAAACCACTTTAGTTCTTAGTGCCAGCAAAAATGTTGGAGACTCAATTTTAGAACTATGAGTGGTAAGGTTGGAAGAACAGAGGAAAAGTAATATAATCTGACTTATCTTCTCACTTAAAAATCTACTTTGACTATAATTAAATTAATCAAACATGTATTAAACACCTACAACATGAAAAAGTCATTCTGCCTCACTGAGGTGAAATGGAATGCACAAATTAAAAGGAAATTTGCCCTAGCTGGTTTGGCTCAGTGGATAGAGCGTTGGCCTGTGGACTGAAGGGTCTGGGTTAGATGCTGGTCAAGGGCACACGCCCAGCTTGTGGGCTCAATCCCCAGTAGGGGGGCGTGCAGGAGGCAGCCAATCAATGATTCTTATCATTGATGTCTATCGCTCCCTCTCACTTCCTCTCTGAAATCAACAGAAATATATATTTTTTAAAAAAGGAAATTTAATAGGTATCATTTGGCAATTATTCTGAAAAATAAATTGCTTCTCAACCTCATGTTTAAGACAGGCTTCTGGAGAGTCATGGGAGCTCCCTGTCTATAGAGGAGGGACATTTAAACTACTGTTCCTCACCAATTGGCCAGTCTGCTTCTATGCCTTCAAAGCCTGTTCTCCAGGATCCCGGACAAGCAGTCTTCTGAGGAAGTGTATCAAGAAGTGGTGGGGTCGGCCAGGAGAGGGGTCCTGCCTGGTCCACTTTGCTTTGTCCCCTGTCTTGCAGCCTTCCTGTGCATCTTCCAAGGTCCAGCTCAAATGCCAGCCCCTTACTGAAGCCTTAATCAATTGCTCTCCTGAAAATAAACTCTTGCATCTCAACCTCCCTGAATAGGTCATCTGTTCTGAGTCATCGCAGGGCAGCAGGTGTCATTGGAGGCAAGGGCCTGGGAGCTAGACAGACCTGAGTTTAGCACAGTCTGCCATTTACTAGCTCCTTGACCTTAGGTAAGTTACTCAGGCTCTCTGGGCCTCCGTTCCCTCCCCTGCAATGGGAGTGCTGATAATTCTTAGCTTAAAGAGATGTAACAAGGAAAGCAGACAGTTGATCCAAGTGCTCAGCAGCGTGACTGGCATATCACAGACACTCAATAAACATGGATTTTAAAATGAGTGAAAGCTGGCTGTTGGTGACACCTGAGACTGATTCCAGGGCTGGGCACCAGAGAGTCAGCAGTAATTGGACCCAAATCAATGTTAACCCTGTCTGTACAATTTTATTCTTTGTGCACATAAAACTACTGT